GTAGTGGACAAACTAGTCTTACAAAATACAGCTGTGCGTTTTGCTCTGCAGAGTAACACTTTTTCTTTTCCAATAGCAAACTCACAGTTCAAAATGTGTTATTAAGCTTTCACTAGTGTTATTTGGGTCTCACAGAAATTTAAGTGCTAGCCAAGCTTTTACCAGATTATTACGGACTTGAAAAGAACACAGGCTCTTTCTTTCATCTTTTCGTAAATACTAGACACAGAATAGGAAATTTTTTTTCCCAAATACAGAGCAGGTATTTCCTTATTCAGTATCAGTGATAAGAGCTGGTAAATATCATATGAAAAACTATTTTCTCCTTACATTTATATACATACACACACACATACACACACTTTATTATATATTTAATATCATTTTCTATTATTTCTATCCCTATTTTCTGATTGTTTCGATATTCTTTATTACTTTGTGACTACAGAAGAAGGATTTTTTTCTGCTATTATGCTGGTTGCAGTTACAATAAATGCAACTGTCTCCTTTCAATTTCTAAACTGGCTTCGTTGCCTGTCTGTCAGATTCAGTGTCTTCCAGTCACACTACCAGATGTTTCTGGGAGCACGACGGACACCTAATGATACAAACACCTTTGCAAACTATCACCAGTGACTAAGCCTTTTAGGAAATTATTTCTCTCCTTCACAGTGCTGGTTTCATTTCCCAGATACTTGTATATCAGAAACCAACTAGCAGGCACTCAGGAAAATAAAGAAAAATTAAAAAGCACCGAGAACAGTTTAGATATGTAAGAAAAGGCTGAATAGCATGCACATTCATGTTCTTTTCAGACTACAGAAATAGGACATACAGTTTTGTCATCTGACATTCCTGTACATCAACAAGCATTTCAAGAAGTTTTGGAAATTGAGACCGATGCCAGGCCAATTCACCTGGGCAGGATCCTTGCCTACCCAGGCTCTGGAAATGCAGGGCCAATGCAGGTTCCTCCACTTCCTGTCACCTGTCCAGATGTGTGCGTGACCCACCTGTCTATAGTCAGAGGCATCTCGATACAGGGCTTTTTCTCTAAGAATGTAACTTGTGTGAATAAAATTTTCTGTTAGAGGTACTTCACACACTCTGATAAGAAACATTTTGCCTGCAAAGTCTATTTAGACAACAACAAAGCCAGCAGACTGAAGTGGAAGAGTGAGAGGCTGACAATACGCTACTTGCTGTACCCTATCTACAGGTAACAGCAGCTGCAGCTGTCACAGTCCAGGACATGCAGCTCTCACCTCGTTACAGGGCCACTGTATGCAAAAGCACTCCAGGTCCTCTTGTAATCTTCACGTGAAATGCTGCTCTGCCTGAGCTTTCATAACAGCCAATAAATTTAAAAAAATTGTTTAAACCAGTAAATACTAGACCAATAAATACCAGTAAAACAAAATATTTGCAGTTTGTCAAAACCAATGAATTCTTCCCACTGCAAAAGCAATAGGTGATGCTTTATATCTAGGATGCAGTAGCTTCTGGGACAGCACAATTGACCGCGTGTGGACAAATGTTGCTCCCTCAGCCATATTCTGCAATGATGCAAGTGACATCCCCGCAGACTGAACCAAATTCACACAACTGTTGTTATTTAGGAACAGGCTCTACCAGCTGGTGACTCCTCCCCAAGCAGGGAGGAAAATCAGGAAAAGGAAAGGAGACCCATGGGCTGAAATAAAAACAGATTTAATAAAATAATAATAAAAACCCCAGTATTAATAACAATATTAATATAAAGCACACAGAGTTCGTCTCAGCCAATATAGTGGTCACAAGCTGTGGTGGTCACAACAAGCAGGGAGTAGAACGATGGGCAGCACCTTCCTTAGATGGCAGCCATCAAGGAACGAGGGTCATCCCTAGCAAACCCCCAGATTCATCATGAGCGTAACCTTTATGGTATAGCCTATTTTCATTGGCCAGTTTGGGGTCAACTGCCCTGGCTTTTGCTCCCCTAAGCTTCCACACCTGTTTAACTCAAAACTGCTGGAGACCTTGATCACCACATACCAGTGCTGGCCAAAACTACAACAAAGTGTCTTATCAACTCTGTTCCCATGAAATCGAGTACTGTAGTCTTTGCAGAAATGCAGCTTTCCTGAATAGAAAATTGATTCTATGATTGTATCCCAGTGAATCCAGACCACTGTCAAATAGAATGGGACAAAAAAATACCAAAGAATAAGGCATTTCAGTTCAAACTAAATCTTTATTCATATGGAAAATACTATTTTTCTTTTTGCAAATGATGCTAATAAATAAAAATACTCAGAAAGAACTTTGCTTAGAGTTAAGTGACTAGTTACAGCCACACAAAGCTTGTAATTCCCGTTATAACCACGCCAACAATCATGCAGATTGGCTACAAGAAAGCAGTATAAACTATATTTTATTTTGTGCAATCTCATCATACAATCTTAATGCTACCTTCTTCTAAACCATTTCACATAGACTGAAATGCAATTTCAGAACAAATATTAGGGGACATATTCTACACTTATTCCACATACGGAGCTGTGTATAGCTTAAGCCCATAAATGTATAATGTAGTTAAGCATCTAAAGAAGGTAAAAGAAAAGAGGACCCAATTCTGAAAACTCAGACAAGTTTATAAACAAAAGAGAAGAAAAGCTCACACCAGTGCGTTCTCAAAAGACAAATACATTATTAAAGCATAACAATAAATTATATTAAAATTAATAATGTTCATCCTTAGAACGGTTATTTCTGAGGAAATACCACTTAAAAAGCACACCAAAACTTTCGTCACTAGGAGTTAAACCTTAAGCTTACACATCTCAATTTCCCACTTGGACATAATTTTGTTTTATAACAGACGCCAGCTTTGTGAACGTATTCGTTATCATACATTTAAAAACAAATTAAATGTTGCAGATAAGCTGTGCATCAAACACATCATCAAGGTGAGAAACAGGCACTTGACAGTATCATGTGCAAGGCAAAACCTTTACTGGTCACAGTATAAAGAGTTTCTTCAGGAGGGAAATGAAAAGTTCTCAGCCCATCTTTGAGAGCAAAATACTAAGGGCTGCTAGCAGATCTTTTGCCGTTCAGCACCAACAACCAAACTAAATCCTAGCTCATGCCTTAGAGGGTATTCCATAAACTAGAAAAATGCAGCATACTTTACCCAAGAATACTAATTCTTTCCTATTATTAACCTCAGCATACGTACTTGCCAAAGGCAAATACAGAGTTTACTCACAGACCAAAAGATGCGATATAAATGCTAACCCTTTCTCCTCTATTAGGATTTTTTTAAAATATGTTATGCCAATTTTCAAGTACATTTGTCATTTACAAGATCCTGTTTTGTAGCACAAAACACTTCTGTTCTTTTCTATAAACTTGAGAACAATGACTTTTAACATCCTATTAACAGCGGAACAAAAACAGAAACATTTTGTTTGTTTCCCTCCAGGCACATCTCAACAGGAATCTCCAAAAAACCAGCTACACAATAAACCAGAAAATTATGCATGAATTGGGAGAGAGAGGAGAAAGAGAGAGCTAAGAAAGGAACAATGTGGCAGGGACAGAAACAAGGTACGAACTTAGAAGAAAATTGCATGCATCCCTTTTCATCAGCATAAGCTTCTTGCAAAAATATGTTTACAAGATATCCATTATATAAAGGTTAATGCTTTCTTGTAAAAACACCGACTTTCTCTGAAACACTACCTCGCTCTTTCGGGTGCACTGGCCATATTGCCAGCCAGTCAACAAGTTCTCCGTTCTGTTATACCAGTTTAACAATCAGGAGAGAAAAGGCCTACTGTTCATGTGTTATGAAACTTTGGGTTTGATTTTTTTTCCATGAATGTTAAAGTAGTATTTATATAGGTCATATAAACAAACTGGAAACCAACTTTGGATCTGACATCAGCCACACTGCTAATGAGAGAGAATATGCTAGAAAGAGGCACTTTTAGTATTCTTATATACATTTCAAACCTCAAGTTCAACACTTCACCTTCTTTTACTAAAAATTAAAGTATCAGTAGCTAATAAGACAGCTTTATAACAAAAATGCCTCAGAAGCTGTGTGTGCACACATACTTGCAATGGCTCAGTTACTCAGTTATCCTGAAAATGCCAGAGTATAATTCAATCACTGCTTATGGGATGGTGGGGTGAGGTAAAACAGTACAAAACAAAAGAGTTGTTTGTAGAATAAGGATCAGCTTCAGTAAAAGTGAAAACATCTGGCTTTCCATAAGAAGCAACTTGTCCCTGGGTTCAGGACTACGGATACTGAATATTGAGATCATCTTATACTCTACTCACTGCTGCTTTACAAATTCTCAGTAATTTTTATTTTTGGCATAACTTGCATCTTAAACACTGAGAAGCTTAGCTTTGTCAAACAATGTTCATTATAAAAAAAACCAAACAACTGACCAAAAAACCCCAAACAACTCTGGAAGACCCATTTGACCTGACTTTTGGTGAAGTTCCTGTGATGGATGGAATTATGCTGGAATAGTACTTTTCCGTTTCCTACACAGTATAGCATGTTGTGACAGATGAGCATCTTGTGTGCACAAGCTGAAGCATATGCTGAGGCTGAAGATTTGGAAAACAGTCTACTAAGGATAAGCATTCTCCCTGCAAGCAACAGATCAGTATTCTTAGTTAAAAAGGGACAGCATCAAAACTAAAATTTTGAGTGACCCTCAAATACCAGAAAAAGCCAGGACCTCAAGCGAGTGGAAGTTCTACATAAGGCAGTCAAATTTACAACCAGTGTATACATTCACTAAGGAATTACATTTTTTTGGTAAAACCAACAATCCAACATACTGCAGAGTCTGAATGTGAAATATAGGCACAAAATAGATTCTCTACTTATTTTTTTCAGTGTGGAAAACATAGCTATTTAACAATGTCATAAGAAAATTTACTATCAGGTGAGCAAAAGTTTGTAATAATCTGAATAAAACTAAGTACTGTATAAAGGTGCAATATTGAGCAGATTTGATTTTGGTTTAAACAAACGAGTAAATCATGGAACATTTCTCTTCTCAGCTCTAAAATATTTCACATTACCAGCATCATTCTAGTTCTTCCCAGTTGTCAGTAAGGTTACCTTTGCTTTGACGCCGAATACTGACCAGCTTTCCAGCCGATTTGATACTCCACCTGGAGCTGTTTCCTGAGCTGGCCAGGTTTGTGTATTTTGTGGAGCCTTTGGTTTCATCTTCCCAGCCCGACCAGGCTGAATAGTCACTTAGCGCAGCTGCTGCGTCACTGGCAGAGTCAGCAGCAGTGATCTGCGGTGGTTCCCATCCCTCAATCTCATCCGGTTTCCTAGATTGGACATTCTGCTTTATCACCAAACTGTCCCAAAAACCTGGCTTCTTTTCAGACTTCATCTCTTCCTTTAACTTTAGGTTTGTTCTAGAAAATAACAATGATGAGGTGATTCATTTCTTCATTTAACAACGCTTGCAATAGTTGTTAATAAACATTCAATTAATTCATTACTTTTTATAATAAGGACTGCTAATCAGTTGTCAGCTTACAACAGCACATCCCTTACTGTCAACTTCAGAAAAAACACCTACATGGACACGCAAGCCTAAATGCAGCAGAATCTTGCAGTGACATGGGAAGTGGACTGACTATGGCCATTTGTCATATTCCTTCTACTATCCTAGCTCTGGGTTTGTGTTTCAGGTTTTTTTGGTTGAAGTCCTAAATTGTTCTAATGCACGCTGAAATACTGCATCCGTTTCCAAAGGCAGCTCTGTGTAATTCACTGGGGGAAGGAGTGTAAGTCCTTTTACAATAGCAAAGTTTTGTCTACCACCAGCTTTACCAGTCACTATGTTCTGCAGTTCAATATACCTGTCATCACCTTGCCTGTTGAATCTTACCCCCTGAAACAGTTGATATACACAGTATTAGGACTTTAAAGATACCAGCAATTTTTTCACAAAGATCTGCACAATATTTTGAAAAGAGATGCTCTGGATGCCTGGTAAGAACTCCCAAAACAAACAAACAAAACAACAAAACAAAACAAAACACCCCATACCTCTAACCTTTGTTGTATTTTCTCTCTCAAAAAGACATTTGAAAGGCTACTCACATTACTGAAGGTTCTTAATGGGATAAGAAATGTAATCTGAATTTTATCACATTTGCAGTGTGGAGCATTTAAAATACAGAATGACAACTGTTTACGCATAAGTTTATATGTAGGTTTATGCATGTAATCAAATAACGAACCACAAGGAAAGGCTGAATACCAGTGGTGAAACACACAACCTTCGGGGTTCAATGAGCTAAACAGCAAATTGAAAGCATTATCTGCTATTAGCATACAAGTTCCTTAGCCACCAATAAAACCATCACTGAATTTTTATTTAGTATTTCTATTAAAAGAGCTTTTTTTTAATTCACGAAAGCTTGACACTATCATATTTCAATAGAAGGAACTGAAACAGTACCTTTAAAACTACTTTTCCTTAACTGAATTTTGAATTCATGATTAGATTTTTCAGAATTTTCACCTCACTAAAGCCAGTCACAGACTCTTTTCTCATATTTTGTTAGTGCACTTGAAAAGCAGCATTTTTTGTTAAAAGTAAAGTAAAAATCATGGCATGCCATTATAGGAGAATACCCCCAAATATAAAATACAGGCAGTTTCCACAGTAATGCTAGAATAACTTTCCACGTTTGCAGTAACTTGGTTTTCATACCTATGTTCTCTTCACTGGGCTATTTGATTCTTACATTCAGCATCAATTGCTTGAAGCAACCTAGCACCTTAATAACACCCATAAAATTGTGCAGGGACAGTAGCTGGGAATTTTGAGGCAGTTTTATTGAATAGGCTCAAATGGAAATGGAAATACATGTATTCTAAATTGTGTATATATATATATATATATACACACACATACATACACACACAAACATGCACCTCTACATGCACATATATACATTTTCATACTGAAATATGTATATTTCAAAGTAAACTGGAAACAAAACAGTCTTAACACACCTAATATCTGGCTGGAACAGCTGGACTGATGGGTGGCACATTTCTTTCCTGTTTGTAACCAGCGTAGTTAGGTAGCACAAGTAGGTAAAGGGTACATACACTTGTAACCGTAAAACGGTTTGTCCTGGGCAGAAGCCTGTTCTGTTCAGAGAACAGCTCTAACCCTACCATCAGCAGAACAGTTCCAAGTAAACACCTCAGCTCTGACAGGGAAGATTTGCAGATCCTGGTTCAGCTACTCCACTTAACCTTTTAAGGTGTAGACAAGACTTCAAAGGAGAAAGTAAAGCATATAAAAAAAGGAATTTGTAAACTCAATCATAATTTATTTCAAGAGGAAAGGGGGAGGGGGGGAATGACCCTTTTATTCAGAAACCTTTACTCCTTTTCTACAGTAAAAAATTATTATGCAGCTAAATTCCCTTTTCTTCCTGACAGATCTCAAAAGGTTATCTCAGTATCTGTCCTTTCCTAACACAGAATCCCTTATTCATTGTAAGCTTAACATATGCATAGTTTTGAATGCACATAAACCTTCCTCTGTGATTTAACTTCCAGGAGTTGAACACTGCTGCTTCTCAGTGTTTACCTTCACTACTTTGCACAGCTGTTTTCTGTTCCAGTTTGTGTATTTTTGATAGCAGACCGACCAATTAGTTTTACTCACCCTTTGGATTTTGGAGACTTGCATCCTGCTAGCAACTGCTGTTCGTCATCTTTATTGAACATAGATGTCACTTCCTTCCAACCCCGGAAACTTGCACCTTGAACCTATAGAGAGAAGTAAACAAACTCATCCATGTGAATTACAGTCTTACAGGGACAGAGTATAGCTGCCAGGGCTGGCTCTTGTTGGCTGATGGGCAGCAACAGCCAGCGGCTCCATACAGCCCACAGCGGGTGGCCACGCATTGATAAAGCACAGGTTGGGTTACAGCAGCAAGAGCTGTCCTGCTGAGCAGAGTGCAAAACCTTGCTGGTTTGCAGGGGCTGGCAAGTGATGGCAGTGAGGACAGCTGGGTGCCCGGGTGCTCTTCTGCAGGCAGGAGCTGCTAGCTCCCTCACAGGAAGAAGGGATCTCAGCAGCTTAGGAAACAGTCGAAGGGGCTTCAGTAGAGAGAAATGAAATGGACAGTCATTGCTAGATGACACAACATATGGGACAGCCAGCTGAATTCTGAAACTTTTAAGATTTAAGCTGCTTTGAACTCATCGTTCCTATTTTTAGCTCACCAAAACTGCTTCTTGTGGCCTTGCAGACAAAAAGGGAAGAACACTGGCTCATCAGTGAAATGGAACACGTAGCACTGGTGGCATTACAGTGTGCTCTCTAAATTTACTGTGAATCTTAAACATGTAGCATGAATTACTTTTTCAACATTATTAAGGGCTTGATTCCTTCTCCCCTGAAGGCAAAAAACATAGGTATTGACTATTTTTATTTTGATAGCATGCTTAGGGACTAACAGAATAATTCTGTCAAGCACAGAATATGAAAGCTGCTGTGTTTTCTCACAAAGTCTAGTAAGAATGGCAGAGTGAGAGCCTATCAGTGTTACTTGATTACATTAAAAAATACAACAATACATTATTAGGCATAATAAACAAAACAAAATAAAAATGGAGTTGTCAACACAAGTGAAGGCTAATTCATCACCTATTATTATAATTCATCCTTTTTGCAGAACTCATCGGTGTAAATTAGTATCAATTTGACATTTAGGTTTTAATTGATTACAGCTTATAACTAGTACATCCACGTAGGCCTTAAAACATGTAAGTGAAACAATCACCTACAAATTGAGCACACCACCAGACATGAAAATACTGGTACTGCCACCTCCTCACCTTTCAGAAACCCACAGCTGCTACCATTTCTGAGGGTAAAACAGTGCCCTTACCATACGTTACTTACGGAGCATTTCCATCGCTTGTTCTCCCATCCCACTGTGTCTTGCTCCTTCACTGCTCACCCACGTTCCCTACTCACATGTGAGCCACCTCAGCTACCACCACTGACTCAGGAGACAGAGCAGGACCATTTTAGGATCAGGAGGAAGGCCTAATCTAGAGTTTCCTAGCACTCAGTTTCACTTTGGTTAGATACAAATATGGACCCTGCTTTGGGCGAAGCTCTGGAGAGCTCTAAAGAGGGAAGGCTGAGCAAGCCCAGAGCAACTCCCAGCTCTTGTCCATGGGATATGGACACCACCAGGTACAGGAAGGACAGGTTCACCAGAGCCCAGGGGTTCCCCAGAACCCAGGCCTCTGCAACTGCACTGCTCGCCTCTTCCTAAACCCATGGCTAATCTTACCATAAACCACAACATTCCTCAGGGCTTCACAAGAAAAGCAACAGCTTCTATACATATTTTTTCCACCATGAGAAGAAAGTGAGTAGAGATTATAATAAGCAAACTCTCATGTTTAATTTAAACATACGCTTTCTATTTCTGTGTTAAAAATAGGTAGGCAGCTAACTTCAACTTTGCATCCCTGTGGCAGACTCACCATACCCATCTCACAGAAGACTGGCACTGTGGATAGCGTAAAACAGAACCAGGCAAACTGCAGATGATACCTTCAAACAGATAGCTTGTGTTTAAAATCCTGGTGTTTAAACTAACAGCATTTCCAAGCAGTACTCAACACTTCTGTGGTGTAAATAATGGTCTAAAACCCCATTTTTAGTCTCTAAAGGCCTAATCTTGTTCTCTGTTTCTGTTGTTCAGTTAAATTCTGTAACAAGTTGAACTCTGGTTTGGCTTCAAGTCACTGCAAAATAGTTACTCTGCAACAAACTTTTGGAAAAAAAAAGGAAGAATCTCCAAAAATTTAGCGGCTGAGGGAAGTAAAAAGTTAAAGAATTAAAAAAAAAAAAGAGAGAAACTCTAAAAAAGCATTTAGCTTTTCATATGTTAAAAAACCCCTTCAGCTTCTGTTACCTTACTTTGCTATTTCAGGCCTTTTTGGGAAGGAACCTTTATTACCATAGGCAAACCCACAACTAAAAGCAGCACAGAAGAACTCTTACTGCCTTCATCCTTTAGGCCTTAAACTGGAAAAAGACCCAAATACAACTCAGTAATCTAGTTTATAGATAAGCTTGTCTTTCTTCACTAATGATGTTTCATCAAGCCATTGCCACATAATAAATCTGCAGATTAAACAAACCAACCAACCCCAAACCAACAAAAAACCCACCAAAAATCACAATCCAACAAGCCACCTTGTTACTGGTTTTCGGGTAGCAATTTAATACACAGACAGACAACTAACTTAAATGATATGTACCCTTAAAGAACAGCACTGACAAGACTATATGGAGATAAGCATTTATACACACATTCATGTAAAAGAGGATATACCTACACATGCACCTTCTTTTAATCTAGAACATCAAACATACTTCACTGATACAACTCCAACCTTTGCTTACTGTTTTGGATATCCAAGGAATACTCCAGCCAAACAAAAAAACCAAACCAAAACCATTTCATATTAAAATCCTCTTAATAAATAGCCACAAGCTTTCCATATTTTTAACTTCTGATATTTTTAAATTTCATTTCATTAAGCCAAATTCTGATTTACAGATATCTTTAAGAACAATTATTAGAAAAGTTCTATTTGGTGTCCAGCAGACAGAGTGTGCAGGTCTCCAGATAAAAATTGACAAACTCTGCACTCTTTTGACCTGTACGTACATCAGTACCTAGGTACACATTGTGCCATTCCTTCAATATTTTCATAAACAAGTACTCCACAATGGACCCATGCCATCTGGTAGGTACATACAAGGATAACAACCACGTAACAGATTCTAACTGATTTATTCTTCTCTCAACTAGGCCTTAGGGAAATGTACACTAAACCTTTAAGACATTCTTCCACCACTTATCTATTTGAGGTTTCTGGAGGAAACACTGCCAGGATAGTCTACATAACTGCATCAACACTGAAGTAGATCAAATTTTGTTAAAATGCGATAAGCTTAATTGCACAGAGTCTAATGGATATTAAATGAACAAGACAGAAAGAAACCCCAGAAATGCAGAAGTAAAACCAGAACCTCTGCCTACTGTACTTAACCCTCCTCTTCTACAACTGCCTGCACCAGCGCTGGTTCCCTGAAGCATCTTTTCACTCAGCTGGAAAGCAGCTGAGTGAACACCACTTCTCAATAGTATTCTCAGTGGTACCATATTTAAGAATATAAACCTTAGCAAAGGAGGAGGTCAAATACTTATTTCCCACTTCCAGAAGCCTTTTCTAACTACTGTACTGTTCCTTAAGACAACCATCTTTCTTTTTGACTATGCTGCCATGTAACTCTCTCACATATTAAAGAAATCCCTCAAAATAGCCTGCTGCCTTTCTGTATTTCTTTTTACTAGTCTTCAAAGATTTTTAACTATGGACAAGCACCACCCACATATGCAGTACCACCACCAATGCAGCTGAACAGTTACAACTGTATCTGCTGGTAGGGACAGCTCAGGAAGGAGACCCTGAAGTCACCTTCTCTGAAACCATCATTTTGACATGAAGCAAATGCAAAGCCATAAAATGCTGGGAACCATCACACACACACAAAAAAAGATTAGACTAATTCAGACAGCAGGTCTGTAAATGGATACCCTCTATTTAGAGGAATGCACCCTCAAAACAATGATTCTTCATGTTAGGAGAAAAGGCCCTAGAAACTGGCCAAGCTATGTTCTCCCTGAACAGCATCTTCTGCTGCCACAGCCCAAGACAGAACTGCCCGACTGGGTGGGCCGGTCTCTGCACCAGCTGGGAATTTCTGACGTCCTTATAGAGCAGGTGGAGAAAGACCCAGATTCCAGGACAACCGGCTTCCCTGCAGTGGATGCCAAAGGAAGGTCAGTAAGTAATGAAGAGGACACTTTGGTAAGCTGGCTTCTCATCACACCGGAGTCTTATTTTATGTAACAAGATTAAAATCATAGAATGGTTTCGGTTGGAAAAGACCTTTAAGATTATGGAGTCCAACCATAAAGTTATGCAAAGTATGACAAGTCAGTACTGATATGGTCATAAAGCTCCAAGCCACTTGCAGAAGTTCTATATTTCATTTTTATTATGTAACTGTCTACATAAAACTCTAAAGTACTACTCCTAAAATTTTCAAAAATGTTTATATAAATTACTGACTAGCCTGCATTCTCAAACCTTTAAAGTATTTTTCCATGTGTCAGTGGAAAAATAATTCAACATCCAAAGTTTGCAGAATCACAGAGCCTTTACAGCTAGAAGGGTCCTCTGGAGACCATCTGCTCCAAGCACACTGCTCAAAGCAGGGTCAACTTGAGTAGGATCACATACAGCCGGTTTTTTAATATCTCCACAGCCGGAGAATCCACATTCTCTCTGGGCAACCTGTTCCAGAGCTTTTTCTTATGTTTAAGTGGTATTTCTTCTATTATAATTCATGCCCATTGCCTCTTGCCCACTGAGCAACACCAAGAAGAGTCAGACTCCATCTGCTTTACACTCTCCCTGCTGCTGCTGGTGTACATGCAGAAACCTTTCTTGTTGCTCTCCATCTTCCTCACCAGATTTAACTCTTAACTCCTTGCCTTTCCTAAACCCATCCCTGCGTGCTCAGAGAGAGTCTTTATATTCCTCCAGGTCACTTGACCCTGCTTCCACCTCCTGTATGCTTCTTCCTTTTGATGTGTGAGGTTTTTCAGGAACATCTTGTTCATCCAGACACCTGTCCCAACAGGCATCTAAGGAGCTGAA